CAACACTTATCGTCAGGAATTCCCAACCAGGGTCAGTTTCATTTTGGCCTTCGCCTTTCTCGCTTCACCGTAACACCCAGACATCCGTAAACCCGACAAAACCGCCCGTCTTGCTGATGTCGGAATCTTAATTCCCTTATTGTAACACGACAGTAGCAGCTTTGAAGCACAAACAAACCTCATGTCTTTACAGAGATTATGCACAACAGAGGTGTAAGTATACTCATCTTTCACTTCCATCGACTCAAAATATCTCATCGCCCGGTCCACATGACCGGCTTTACACAATCCATCTACCAAACAGTTACAAGTCACAAGATTCAATCCAATCCCCATCTCTCCCATACTTACAAAATGCTCCTCGGCTCTTCTAGTCTGTCCCGTCCTTAACAAACCATTGACTATAATCGTGTGCGTATACTCATCCGCTTTCATTCCTTTCCGCTCTATCTCTCCTAACAAATCATCCACCGCATCCAAATTCCCATCTTTAAAATACAGATTCAACAATGTGTTGTACGAAACAATGTCATGTCTCCTACCTTTCCTAACTAGCTCTTGCATATACTCATACGCCTCTTTCGTTCTACCTGTCTTAATCAAAGCACTAACAACCGCAAAATACGCATACCCGTCATACGTATACCCTTCTCTTCTCATCTCTAAGAACAACTGAAGCCCTCTTCTAATCCTCCTAGTCTTAAAATATAATTTCAGGATTGTAGTGTATGTAACAGCATTCGGAGTGTAACCCGATCTCTTGAGCTCAGTCAGCATCCATTTCGCAGTACCGACTCTCCTGGATTTACAAAGCCCGTTGATAAGAATGTTATAAGTCATAAGCTCCGGTTTAAACCTACTCTGCATCTCTTTAAAGAGCTCAAGAGCATTGTCTATATAACCACACTTGCATAGAGCATCAAGAAGAACATTGTAAGTATCAGGACCGGGACTTAGCCCGGCGAGCTGAAGATCCTTATAAAGAACCCGAAACGCTTCTTCGTGTTTCCCTAGCTTAAAATAACAACACATCAAAGTATTGTAACTCCACAAATCAGGATAAATACCCCACTCAAGCATTTCGTCGAACAGGTAGAGGACACGATCTAACATCAGCCGTCTAGCTGCTCCAGCGATTAAAGAATTATACGTAGCCACGTCTGGTCTAATTCCGGCGTCTCTCATCCGACGAGTCACAGCGTAAGCTTCTTCTATACCAACGAATCGACAATAACCACTGATCAATGTGTTGTAAGTGACGACATCAGGAGCAACACCTAATCTGATTCCGTCAATGATCAAGGTCTCAGCTTTCTCCAATTTCCGATATTTGCAGAGTGAATCAACGCAAATGTTTAATAACCTCGTTGATAATCCAGTGAAATTCACCAACCCACGAACCATTCTATCGGATTAATCCGAATAGACATAGAAGAATGGTAGAAGAAGCAGATGAATTCGTGACATTGGATTTGATAAACAACAAAATTTGAGGAACTTTTGATAATTCAGATGCAGATCTCGGCGAAGAATTTGATGGGCATCGGAAAAATGTGAAATTTTCGAAACAAAATTGAAAGAGATTTTTGTTTTCCTCATTGCAGTATCTGAGAGGGGTTTTACAAGAACAGTCTTCAACTTCCAAGTTTATTGTATTTGCATAATAAGCCCCTTAGTTTTTGTTTTAATCAAAGTAAGTCCTAAATTCTAAATGTTAACACATACACCAACAAATAAAATTCTTTCTTTTAAGGTATGTAGCAGAATTGATAAACCATGTCATGCTTGCTTGTTATTTTGCAAATCAACAAGTGAGAAGTATAATTGAATAGGCTTAAAATATGCAAATTGCAGATTTCTTTATTTGGTGATAATTAAATAACTAGCAATCCAGTCTTGTTTAAAACTCATTAATAAAAAATAGAAGACATTTTGTTCTTCGAACTTGGCTTTTTAGCTACTATAAAAGCAGAATAAAAGCTATAATATGGGTTCTGAAGATTCCATATCAAAGGACTTGATGAGGTTTCTCGTAGTATCGATTAATGAACGGTGATTTCTTGAATTTAGGGACGTCTAATGAAAGTTGTGGGTAAAATTAATAGAACTTCATGCTTTGAAAGGCTTGCTTAGTATATCTTCTTCACTTATTTATTCAGGATGCTTATTATATGTTGGAATAACAGTAATTATTTCAGTTTATTTTTCACCAATAGAATTGGTTCATCTCTTTCAAATCTAAATTTTGTTCTGCAACTAAATTTGATTTGAACACAAAGCCAGACTCACAAGGCTTCCTTTTGTAGGGTCAATCACTCACAATCTTCTTTAGCATTACAAAATAAATCTTCTGGTAAGAAAAATGAAAAAAAAACTCACTAATTAGCATCTTTTCAAGTTAATTTTTTTTTTTTGTTAAAGGTTTTCAAGTTAAAGTTTCTTCTACCTACAAAAATATATAACCAATACAACAACAAGGAAAAAAAATCTAAATGCCAAAAAAAAAAGTGTATAATTTCTTTCTCCTTCAATTTTCAGATTGTGTTTGACCAGAGACTTCACCAAACCGGCGATGATCATATCCTCTGTTTTTAACAAGTTCAGCGAACGTAACACAACTCTCTGTCTGGCTATGTCCTCTAGTGACCTTAATCTTTACATGTTCTGGTAATCTCAATGTATACTTATCTTCTTCCTCCGGTTTGTTTCTCACTATCGAGTGTCCCGTCGAATGCGATCTAGAGAATTTCTCCGGCAAGTTTTGTTCCTTTATGATGCTACTACTCTGTCCTGAAGATGGCCAAGTATCAATCGGTGTTGTTGTCTGATGAAGATGATGATTGACTTCTTCGTCGTCGCTTGTTTCTTGAATCACATCTATGATCATTTCATCGACGGTAGGCTTGGTGTTTTCCGGTTGCGGAGGAGGATCAAGATCCCGACGACAAACAGGGCAAGTTCTGTGAGATTCGAACCAGAGATCGATGCATTCTTGGTGGAACACGTGGTAGCATGTTGTCAAGAGACGGAGCACGTGATCTCCGTCGAATTCTAGAAGACAAATGGCGCATTCGAGGCCGTATTTTTCTTCCCGGAGATCTTTAACGGAGGAGTAAGGAAAAGTGGGAAACGAATTAATGATTCGAAGGTCAAGACCGGGATTTACGGGTGGAGCTTCCGGTGGCTGGAGGGGATTATCGGATACGGTGTCTCCGCCGTGGTGGAGACGCCAAGCTTGTATCATTGTGTCGAGGAAACACTTGCAAAAGTAGAGAGTGAAGAAACCGATGAAGAAGAAGACGAGGAGGATTACGGTGAGGATCACCGTGAGAGGCGGTGTAACGTAATGTTGTGGCGGAGGTTGCGGTGGCAGAGGTGAAGGAATTATTGTCGACATTACGTTGGCCGGAGACTGATTATCTCCGCCGTGAGATTTCTCATATACCAAAAAAAACAAGAAAGCGAGAGACAAGAGAAATTCACTCTTTATTTTTAAGGTTATTTTTTTAATTATTGTTTATTTAGAGTTCAGTTTTATTTGGTATAGTGTGTGGAAACTGTGTGTTTGGTGTGAGAGAAAGAGTGTGTTTTGGTTACTAAAAATAAAAAGTGTGTTTTTGGGTTTGGTTTTGTTTGTTTTGTTTGCTTAATGCTATGCATTGAACGAGTCGTCTGTGACATTTGTTGTTGCTTAATTAGTCCTAAAAAATAGTCTGTTTTTTTTCTTTCATTTAATAGTATAAGTCACGCATTTAACAAGCAAAAATTAGGATTTTTGGTTCATGGCACATTTCGGCTCATGGCTTTTCGTTTGTGGTCCTTTTGAATATCAGAATATACTTATTTGTTATTTGTTATTTGTTATCAGTATACTTCATTATTCAAAATCAGTGGTCATCGAGCTATCTTTGTATTTATTATACCTTTGAATCAACGAACATCCGATCAATTACTAGCGCTAGTTGCCTAGTTTTACACAAGCTCCATCCACAAAGGTTCTCCACGGGAACTGAATTGATGTTTTGCATGAAGAGACATATGTCGGGGACGTGAATTTGCAAAACAGTTTGAAAGACATCAGTCCTTTGTGGCTTTGGTGAAGAAGAGACAAAATATAGACCCGTCCGTAATCACTTATCTTTATTTTGACCTTATCATTATTTAAGTCAAGTACTAGTGGGTTATAAGTGAAGTTGATTCCATCTTCCATGGTTGGTAAAAAAACTTTTCTTTTGTAAGATAATCTTACCTCTAATAGTGTGAAACAAATTAAAGGACAAAAGGTCACAAAACTAGATAACCATATTATATGCATTTGAGAAAACCTTATCTTATCTTATCAAAAACAGAAAAATATCCCCAATTGTATCAGTATACTGAATCCAGATCTTCCCAATTTCATAGATAAAGACAAGAAAATGAAATGTCATTTTGTGTGATTGTGATATTAATCATTCACATATTAACATCATTCTCATCACATCGTTATTCCATTACATTTTATTGTAGTAATTTGAGACACAAAACCAAAAAATACATGCAGAAAAGATTAGTAAAACGTCTTCTTTTATTCATCAACATCATGATTTGTGAGGTGCTATAATATAATATTCGACATGACAACAAAAATTTTATAGTTTCGATAATACTCATAGTTTATGATTCTGACTGAAACGCCAATAGGTTTTTCATAAAAGTAAAAAATACAATGGTAATGGTGGTTTCGTAATTCTGGGTGCACAGAAGATCCACGTGGTAATCGAAGAGTCGTCGATCACGTGCAAATCCTCCACACGTGTTAAGTCAGCTCGTAGCTGATTCTTCCCCCTTGACGGTCATCGCATCGGACGGTTGAGAGAAGCTCACTTTAAGTGTATCACACGGAAAAGGGAAATGTAGCGCGAGAAAGTCAATAGATCTAACGGTAGATAAGAAATAAAAGTCAGATGATCGTACGGTAGAAATGAAGCTATATATAGCAAAAACTGGATTATTATTATGATATTATCATCATCACTCTCTGAGATCGAAGAGAAGAGAAAGAAGAAACTCCATTGATGAAATCTCTATTGATGAGAACCGGTTCGATGCCGGTTCTTCAAAACCGGTTTATTTCAGGTGGTTCGTCGCGGAAGATGACGACACCTATCTCCAGGACCAACTCCGTGGAATCATTATCAAGCTACGGCGAGAGATTCGCCGGCGGGAAGATCTCCATCGAGGTTAAGGCTAATGTCGGGATGCGGAGGGTTTTATCGGAAAGTGATGTGATTAGATCTGAGAGAATGTTAAAAAATGTTGGATCTAAGCCTTCACCGGCGAAAATCCCGGAGGATGATGAAGCTGAGGAGGAAGAAATTAGCTTTGCAGATGGTTGGGGGTCTTTGATCTCCGGTGGTTTACCTGTGGAGGAGCAAGGATTCTCCGGTGGTGGTGGTGGTGGATCTGGTTTTAGCGGCGGTTATGGAAACGGAGGAGGCGGTTATGAAGATAAGAGCAAGATCGGTGATTATTATCGAGAGATGTTGAAATCAAATCCTAATAATTCGCTTCTTTTGATGAATTACGGCAAGTTTTTGTACGAGGTTAGTGATTTTGAGAAGCTGAATTTGAGTTTTGTGAAATGGAGATTAGGTTTTTGATTATGTGAATCTTCAGGTGGAGAAAGATGCAGAGAGAGCTGAAGAATACTATGGAAGAGCAATACTGGAGAATCCAGGAGATGGAGAAGCTTTGTCCATGTATGGAAGATTGATATGGGAGACAAAGAAAGATGAGAAGAGAGCTCAAGGTTACTTTGATCAAGCTGTTAATGCTTCTCCTAATGATTGGTAATAATTTGTATTCTTTTGATTACTTTTACTAATCCCAAATTTGATTTTCTTTACTTGAATCTAAATGTTTGTGTTGTTGTAACTTTGTAGTATGGTTTTGGGATCGTATGCTCATTTCATGTGGGAGGCAGAGGATGATGATGAGGAAGAAGAGTTAATGGCTGCATCACCAGTCATGGTTTCTGCAGTTTAGAGAAGATTAACACGAAGATGAAGAAGAGTAATGGAGACTAAGATTATGTATCAAGTATCAACCTTTTTGTGTATTTCACTGTCTTTTACTAACTTTTGTTGTAATAACCTGAAGAGTAATGAACATGTATGTGAAAGAAAACGAATGTAACCTTATTATAAGAGAATAAAAGTGCTTTTGTAAAGCTTTGTATAGTTTAGAATCAGAATTTTTGAAATTAAAGTGGATAATTCGTTGATTATAAGAAAAAAGAACAAGTCTTTATGATCATAACAATCAAAAGAAACTACTAAGAAACAAACTAAACAAGATTGAATTTGAAACCTACTTAACATGTCTCTCTCTCTATTTATCTAAAACCAAAGCTAAATTTAAGAGAAATAGGAAGGAGGAGAAGATGAGAGAGTAAGAAAGCTCAATCTACTTTATAGAGATAATTATGATGGAGAGATCAGAGATGTGTCAAAAGGAACAGAGAAGCAAACCCAGGTCAATATTGACCCATGAACCATCTGTTTATTGAGGACTGCTGCCAGGCCAGAGATGGTACATCTGCATAGGAATTTGGTGAAGCTGTTGCGGTGTGGAGTTTCCAAATAGCCCATGATTATTGTTGTTGTTGCTTCCACGGTGCAACGGAGAATTACTTTCGTTTTCCTCTGATGACTCGCTCGAGTGTTGTTGGCCTTGAGATCGAGGGCTTCCAGGTCCACCACCACCACCGAAGCTCAACATATTGGCTGGAGCTGAAGCTGGCTCGGGGGTATTCTGAGCACGCCCTGCACTTTGTTTCTGCTTCCTTCCATCTGGTACAAAGCTTCCCACAATAACCTATATAAAAACCCGAATCAAAGTCAGTGTCTTGAACACTTTCTGATCTTAACTCGAGTGTAAAGGTTAAGAATTTGACCAACCTGGACTTGTGATCCAGCTACTAGCATTCCAGCAACACTTCCACCCACAATCCCGCCATCTTGTCCAGCCAGCGACACACTCAAGTTACCAGTTTTGGTCACAGTACCATTACTCTCAGAATTCAAAAAAGAACCTGACAGAGAAATGATTTCAAATCGGCCCTGCAACAACAACACATCCAATACAGCTCAATACAAGATTCAAATTCCAGCTCCCTTCGATAACAACATTGCACAAATGAGGCCATGAAGCAAGCAATGCACAAAGAACATGAGTAATTTATACCTCATACTTAACAATTCCACTAGGATTGGTAGCTTGACGAAGTTTCACATTAGTTACAGCTCCTGTAGCTGAGAGAATACAGATTGCGCGTGGCCCTTGGTTCGTAAACGCCATTACCTTCATAGCTATGTCCTGAATAGAATGAAAGATCATAACTTTAACCAAAGAAACAAGCAAAATTATTCAAAATCAAAACAAACTCAAGATTAAAGAGTTCCTACAACAACACATTACCTCTCCTGTTTTAACCTCAATGACATGAGGTGTGAACCCAACTCCTCCTGTTCCTCCTGCTCAGACACACACACACAAGACAAAACCCATTAAGTAGAATTGCAAACAGTGAATCTGATTTGATCACAGAAAGAGAGAGAGATAGATCCTGTACCTAAAGCGTCGAGCTGCTTCTTACCGGAGCCAGGAGGACGTCCTCTGTTCCGTTTAGCAGGTGGATCGGAAGAGTTAGCATTAGCTCCGCCGCTATCACCACCAGTACCACCACCTTCATTTCCACCACCGTATGAATTAGAAGCTGTAGGAAGAGGCGAAGTAGGAGCCAAACCAAGAGCAATGTTACTACCACCACCACCACCACCACCACCACCACCATCAGCAGCATACTTCCTAGGCCTTCCTCGTTTCTTCTTCACCTGTTGATGGTCGATCCCAAATCTCATCGACTGTTGTTGAGTCGTGGCGGCAACAGAAGAAGGCGATCCATCAAATCCAAGAGATTCAAGAGTCTTCTGATCTATCTGTTGTTGAGGCTGAGGATGATGATACTGATGTTGTTGAGGCTGATGCGGTGACATAGAAGTAAAAGGTAATCGCTGATGCATAGCTTGAGATGTGGAGGTGTTGTGACCCATTAAAACAGCGGCGGCGGCAGCGTTAGGGTTTCGATTGTAGGAATTGTGGTGACTCATTAACATCCCTGGCGGTGGTTGTTGTTGTAGATGTTGTTGCTGTTGCTGCTGTTGTTGTTGTTGTTGCTGTTGTTGGTGGTGGATTTCTCTGGAATCCATTGATGGAGGAGGAGGAAAGTATCAATCTTTATTGAAGATTTGTGATTTTAGGGTAATTTTCTTGGAGACCCACTTTTCTGTTTTACGAATGCCGAGAAAATAGACGAGAAAGTGCAGGTTTTTGAGTTTTAAGCGAAAGCGTGTGAGCTAGCTAACAACTCTCTCTCTCTCTCTTCTTGAGTTCTTCATCAGAAGAAATGACGATCTAGTTAGTGTCTAATTCTTTTAAAAAAAAGATTTAGTTATATAAATAAAAGAATAAATTGAGGAAACAAATCTTTGGTTTAGGGTTTTCGGTTTTCAGTTTTCAGGAGATTTAGTTTTTTTTTTCATTAATTTTAATGAAATAAATCTAAAGATATAATTTAGTTAAGGTTTTGTTAAAATGTGAATGAATGAATGTGCAACTAGGAGGAGAGTGTTTAATAAGTCCATTTATAGTTTCTAGTTGTAATGTAATGTACTCTTTGGTGTTCTCCTTTTAACTCTAGTTCTGTTTTAATAAATGTTTTTTCAATTTTTTTTGGTCTTTTCACATAATTTTCATTGTTGCATTGAATGAACCGAGTTTGGTTATTTGGAAGAGAAAATCAAACCGGAATGAGACATTGAATTAGAGAGAGAGGGACTCAAACTCTCAGAAGTGAGTACTAGAAAAGTAACAAAAAATTCTAAAATGAAAACAAATGCACAAGAATTAATAAGAGAATAAATATATGTAAACTAAAGATTTTAGTTTGACTGTGTTTGGAGAGGAAAAAAAAAAAAGTTTGACTGTGTTTGGGAAATCCAAATAAACATGGGTTTTGTACTTTGTTGTGTCAGATTTTTTTTCTTAAGTATATCCTCAGATCTTAAAAACAATCACTAGTTTGAAAATGACAGCAGCTTATTTTGACCATTTTGTCCTTCTATTGCCTCATCTTTTTAAGAAAAATCTATTCAGAATACTGTTCTATTATTCTATATACTCTCTATAGATTCCAAATTAAATTGACAAACTCAAGTTACTAATTTTTAATGCTACTATGTCACATAGATAAAGACCCACTGGAGTTTGAATAGAATGAAACAAACAAATATTTAATACAAGCAACTTTAGATATAAGCAACAAAAGTGTATTTAAATGTCATATTGAAATGAATTCTGTGTTATTTATATCCATCCACTCTTCTCCCATACTTGTTCACGAGATAATGGAATTTACCGGTTTGGTTTTTTGTATCCCGGTTTAATCCAAAGGACAAAAAGATGTGATGTGTATCTGGTTTTGTTGGGGATGATGATAATCAATGTGAAAGTACTAAACTTTTATGTATAGGTAGCGACTAAAGTGATCGACCAACAAGCAATAAAAGCAAATGTTATCAAATAGTTTAAGCCATGCGCGTACCTTAAGAAACCGGACACGTAAAACCAGATGCTGTGAAGAATTGGTACCTGAAATTAGAAATATGTTTGGGACAGATAACGAATGTTTTTTTTTTTAAAGTACTTTAGAGTTTATCTAATGATTCAAGCGACCTGAAACTCCATCATTTGGATCGTTAGTCATGACTAAAATAAAACAAAAACAAAAGAATGCAAAATGGTTTGGTGAATGTAAAACAACAGAAGTGTATCGATATGAATCAATGTGAAAACTCACTTCCAAACCAAGCAATCATATTCACTTGGAAATTCTTCGTATTTTCGCTTTGTTGTGTTACTGGAATTTTTACTTACAACTCCAAGCGATAACATTTTACCTCTCCAAAGACAATATTGACCAAGAAACAAACACAAAAACAATCAAAACCTTCCTCGTCACATCGCATCAAAGAACATTACATACAGTCAGATAATGTGCAAGAACAACCAATTTAAAGAACAAAATTAACCAAAAAATAAACAGTAAAACGTTAAGAAAGCAATTATTTACCTTTCGACGATCTCATAACAAGGTTAACACTCTCAGCAATATCCAGAAACACCTACCTACACTAGTACAAAGAGGAAAAGTTTAGCCCCTGGTCAGGTGGGCTTTTTATTAATGGGCTTAATTCTCACTAATGTAGCCCACTAAGGAAATATTACTTGTAGTAAATAAAAATTTACCGCCAATTAATGAAGAAGAAGAAGGGTTAGATTTGGCAAGTAGAAAATGAGCAAAGCAAGAAGAAGAAGATTCTCTTTGATCCACTTTCCATTATTGTCGTCGCAGAGAAAATTGGGTCTAAGGATTCAGTTTCATAAACCCTAAGTATCTGATTAACTTATAGAAAAACCTCCTTTTTTTTGTTTCTCTAGTGACGGATTGCTTTTGGGGGTGTGAATGGGGTTTTTCAAGAAATTGGCAAGTGTGTTTGGATTTGGCCAGGAAGTGTTGAAAAATGAGGAAGATGATTCCGGTGACGGAGATAATCAGCAGAGATTTCGTGAAACTGGATTACCAAGGAAAGGATTTGGAGTTCCGGTTCAAGTTGCTGTCGAAAGGTCCCAACTTGGTCCTCTTCTCCAGCCTTGCGCCAATGGAGACGGTGGTATTCAGGTTTGAATTTTCCCGTTCTGGAACTGTTGCTATAGTGGTTGATTGCTTTATATTGAAGTGTGGATACTAGTTAGTTTTAGCTTACGAAACATCGATACATTGGCTTTGGAGATTGATTAGTAAGTTCCATGTTCATGTTACCATTAAAGATTCATCGTTCTTTAGTTTTTTCTTTAGTTGTTGATATCATGAATCTTGTTCTACATAGTCGTCAGCTTGACTCTCTGTTCTTGCTTTAGCATTATTGCTCAAAACCCAATTCTCCAATTGCGGTTTTGAGTTAGATGTCCTCGTGAGTAGTGACAGTTAGATGCAATAAAGAAAATCTGTAGAAGTAAGTTCACCAATATGGCTTACCTTAACTTGCTATGTAGTAGAAGCAGAAACTGTAATCATAGCCCTCTAAACAGGTTCACATTGTCTTTTCTTTGACATTAGACAACGACTCCGTATCACTTCTGTTTATATTGTTACTCCCTATGGTTCAACCTCTCAGCTGTTACTTGATTTCTAATGTTAGATTGTTTAGCTGTTTAGGTCACTCGATTAGTTGTGAACTTTTCTTAGTTAAGAGCTTGCATTATCTTCTAGGATATTGGTTTTGTCACACGCTGTATTATAGCTCTCTCTTGAATGAATCAGGGACTAAGATGGTATACGAAAGGGCTAAGGGTTGATGAAGATGGAGATGTTGGAGATGAGTTTTTGGAAGAGGGAGAGAAACCGACTAACGTAGAAGATGATCATAATTGTATTAAGACTATGCCAAGACTCCAAATTAAACGCAAAACGAAACCTGCGAAAGTAAGAGGATTAGTTGTGTCTTCTGATGGGAAACTCCAGCAATGCATTGAACATCAAGGAAGGTTATTTATAGTATGAATGATTTTGGAACACAGAGAAGGTTTAGGACAGGTTTTTGTTTTATCAGAAACTCGGGGTTTTGAATGTGTAAAGAGGGAAGCAAATAGAGTTGCAGACATATTGGCAAGAAAGTGCAATGACCAGTTTAGCTTTCTTTGTGTCTTTGAACTATATTCCAATTTGGCTTATATTAGATGAATAGATGGTTTAGTACAATTTAGTACTGGTTTGTACATAACCGGTTTGTACCGGATAGTAGATTTGTGTATATATACGTTGTACTTATCATCAATTGTGAATAACAGAATCTTTTCTATTTTCGTCATCTTCTTCCTCTCACCAACACGATCGTCATCCTCCATGGTTGATCATCATCTTCCTTGATTCTGTTCATCTTTTTCACTAATATGGTATCAGAGCTATACGCTTAGCTCCGATTTCGTTTCTTTCTCTGATTCTTCTCTTGGCGTGTTTTGTGTTTGACTGGTTCGATATGGGAGTCCCGATTCGTAAATCTACTCGTCGTCTGGGTAGATCTGCAGGTGCTGGTAGCTCAGGTACGAAATCAAAAGCTCCGATGAGCTCAATCTCTCCGATTCCGTCCGATCCAGCTCCTGTTGTTCCGATCCGCTCCGTTTCTGAGATCGATACCGTGGATAGTCAACACTCGCCGTTTTTCCTCCATAGCGCTGATCATCCTGGCTTGTCTTTGGTCACTGATCGTCTAGATGGTACGAACTACAATCACTGGAGTTCTGCGATGAAGATAGCTCTTGATGCGAAGAATAAAATCGCTTTCATCGACGGCTCTCTTCCTCGTCCTGAAGAAGGTACTCCTCTCTTTCGGATCTGGTCTAGATGTAACAGTATGGTCAAGTCATGGATATTGAACGCTGTTTCGAAACAGATCTATGGTAGTATTTTGAACTTTGATGATGCTACCATGATTTGGAAAGATTTGCATAACCGGTTTCATATGACGAATTTGCCGAGAACATTTCATCTCATTCAGCAAATTCAAGATCTGCGTCAGGGTTCTATGGATCTATCGAGTTATTATACAGCTCTGAAGACTCTATGGGATCAGCTTGATAGCAGTGAACCTCAGGAACCATGTCTATGCTGTCGTTCTTTTGCTTGTGTTAGTAAACGCAATTTTCAGGCTAAGGTGGATAGAGGACGTCTTATCAAGTTTTTGGCTGGTTTGAATGAAACGTATGCTATCATTCGGGGTCAAATTATCATGAAGAAACCTCTACCTGATATTGCTGAAGTTTACAATATCTTAGATCAAGATGATAGTCAAAGAAAATTTGGAAGTAGTGTTGTTCCAGCTGCTTTTCAGGTGGGAATTGCAGGACCTCATCCTGGAGTGATGAATGGTAATGTCTCTTCTCCTTCTGCTGGTTCTCTTATTGCTGCTTACCAGTCTTTTAAGAAAGATAAACCAACATGTTCTCATTGTGGCTTCACTGGACATGTTGTGGATCGTTGTTACAAATTACATGGTTATCCACCTGGTTGGAAACCTAGAAAACAACATCTCAGTACTCCTCCGTCTTCTCAAGTGTCTGCCCCTGTTGTCACTGCTCCAGTGTCTGCTCCTGCTGTCACTGCTCAAGTGTCTGCACCTGTTGTTACTCCTCAAGTATCTAAGTCTGTTGGAACTGGTGATAAACAGTCTGTTGGTCTTGATGGTTTAATTGGGAACCTGACTAAAGAACAATTACAACATTTCATTGCTTATTTCAGTTCTCACTTGACTCCTCAAGCCTCTTCTCAGAATAATCAGATGTCTTCATCAGTTCAGATCAATGAAGCTTCTACTTCTGGTATTTCTTTTTCTGCCTCTACCTACTGTTTTATTGGGATTTTGACTGTTGCACAATGTGTTACAAACAAGAGATCATGGATTATTGATTCTGGTGCTACTCATCATGTAAGTCATGATAGGAGCTTATTCAGTGATCTTGATACTTCTGTTAGTCAACATGTTAATCTTCCTAATGGTAATATTGTTGTGGTAGCTGGAGTTGGTACAGTGATTATTAATACAGCCATCAGTTTGAAGAATGTTCTTTACATACCGGAATTCAGAATGAATCTTCTCAGTATAAGCTCATTGACTTCAGATCTTGGTTCTAGAGTTATTTTTGATCCTGCTTCTTGCCTCATACAGGATCCTATCAGGGGATTGACGATTGGAAGAGGTAGAAGAATTGCTAATCTCTATCTGTTGGATGTTGAAGAGCCTGCAAATTCAAGCCAACTATCTTCTTATAGTTTGAATGCTGTAATAGACTCTGCTGTTTGGCATAGGAGACTTGGACACACGTCTTTTAATCGGATTGATATGATTATAGATGTTCTTGGTATTTCCAAACAAAGAAATAAAGGAGTTTTACATTGTGATATTTGTCAAAGAGCTAAACAAAAGAAACTTCCATATTCAAATAGAAATAACTTTTGTGCAGCTCCTTTTGACTTACTACATATTGATGTTTGGGGTCCATTCTCAGAGCCTACAGTAGAAGGATACAAATACTTCTTGACAATAGTGGATGATCACACTCGGGTTACTTGGGTTTATCTGCTTAGATTGAAGAGTGATGTTTTGACAGTCTTCCCAGATTTTTTGCAGATGGTAGAAACTCAGTTTGATAAACGAGTACGTTGTGTTCGATCTGATAATGCTCCTGAATTGAAGTTTACAGAACTTTATCGCAAGATGGGTATCATTCCCTATCATTCATGTCCTGAGACGCCAGAGCAGAACTCTGTTGTTGAAAGGAAGCACCAACACATCTTGAATGTGGCCAGAGCTCTCCTTTTCCAATCAAATCTGCCATTGTCTCTATGGGGGGATTGTATTCTCACTGCAGTTTTTCTCATCAACAGGACACCCACACCACTATTGGAGAACAAGACACCGTTTGAGAAACTTACAGGTACAGCACCAGAGTATACTGATTTAAGAACTTTTGGTTGTTTGTGCTATGCAAGTACATCTCCTAAGCAGCGTACTAAGTTTGAAGATAGAGCTAAAGCTTGTGTATTCTTGGGCTATCCAGCAGGCTATAAAGGTTACAAATTGATGGATATTGAGAGTAATGTTGTTTTCATTTCCAGAAATGTTAAATTCTTTGAAGACACATTTCCTTTTCAGAATTCCCAAGATACCGATAAGGCTTCAAGGTTTTTTCCTCATATAAGTACTCGAGTTACTGTACAAGGGGAATCTTCTGGGCTTTCTAGTGACGGGGAATATAATTCTGATTCAAGACAGGGGGAATTACAGTCTGAACCAGTGGTGCATTCTGAATCTTCGACAACATCACAGAGACGTTCAAGACCTCCTGCTTATCTCAATGACTACTATTGTTATTCTACACAACAATCCACACAACATCCTATTTCACAGGTTTTATCTAATACCAAACTCTCAGCTCCTTTTTGTGCATATATCAATGCTCTCACAAAGTTTCCAACTCCCACTAGCTATAAACAAGCTAGCAAAGTTAAGGAATACTGTGATGCTATGGTTGCAGAGATAGAGGCATTAGAACGCACAAATACATGGCTGGTGTGTTCTCTTCCTCCTGGTAAAACTGTAGTTGGGTGTAAATGGATATATACAGTCAAGTTAAATCCTGATGGTAGTCTTGAAAGGTATAAAGCTCGCTTGGTAGCAAAGGGGTACACTCAGAAAGAGGGACTTGATTATGTTGAAACATTCGCACCTGTTGCAAGGATGGCAACTGTCAAGTTTTTGCTTTCAGTAGCAGCTCCAAGGAAATGGTTTTTGGATCAATTAGATGTGTCCAATGCATTTCTCAATGGTGATCTTCATGAAGAAATCTTTATGGCTTTGCCCCCTGGTTATATCCCTAAAGAGGGAACAACTTTTCCACCTAATGCAGTTTGCAAGCTCCAAAAGTCTATCTATGGCCTCAAGCAAGCTTCACGTCAGTGGTTTTTAAAATTCTCGCAGTCTTTGATCTCTTTGGGTTTTAAAGGTGGTACTGGTGATGACACTTTGTTTCTCAGAAAGACTGGTGATATACATGGTTGTATTGGTTTATGTGGATGATATTATTATTGCCAGCAACTCATCTGAAGCTACTGCGTCACTTACTGCTGCCTTGAAAGAGTCCTTCAAGCTGCGTGAACTAGGTCCTCTCAAGTACTTCTTAGGTCTTGAGGTTGCTAGGACTTCAGCTGGTATATCTATTTGCCAACGTAAATATGTATTGGATCTCTTGGATGAAACAGGACTTTTGGGCTGCAAACCCTCCTCTATTCCCATGGATCCAAGTCAGAAGTTGAATATGGAAACAGGGGAATTCTTAACAGATGTGGAGATGTACAGAAGATTGGTTGGCAAACTAATGTATCTGACATTTACTCGGCCAGACATCACCTTTGCAGTTCACAAACTATGCCAATTCACTTCTGCTCCACGACAACCTCATCTAAAAGCTGTGTATAAAGTTCTACATTATCTTAAAGGTACTATTGGACAGGGTATGTTCTACTCAGCCACTTCTGATCTTAAGTTGAAAGGATTCTCTGATGCGGATTGGGGTACTTGCAGAGATTCAAGGATATCTGTTACTGGATTTTGTATGTTTATTGGTCCATCTTTGGTATCTTGGAAATCAAATAAGCAAGAGACAGTCTCCATGTCGTCTGCAGAATCCGAATATAAAGCAATGTCCACTGCGGTTAAAGAAATGTTATGGCTTCGCAAACTTATGGTTGACTTATGGGTTGATGTTTCAGAGGCCTCTGTTCTTTACTGTGATAATACCGCAGCTATACACATCGCCAATAATCCGGTCTTCCATGAAAGAACTAAGCATTTGGATCTTGCTTGTCATCTTGTGAGAGAAAGAGTTTTAATGGGCACAATCAAGACTCTTCATGTGGGGACTGAACACCAATTGGCTGATGCTCTAACTAAACCTCTATTTCCTACTCAGTTTCTGAATCTAATTCGCAAGATGGGTGTTATTAACATATACACTCCATCTTGAGGGGGAATATTAGATGAATAGATGGTTTAGTACAATTTAGTACTGGTTTGTACATAACCGGTTTGTACCGGATAGTAGATTTGTGTATATATACGTTGTACTTATCATCAATTGTGAATAACAGAATCTTTTCTATTTTCGTCATCTTCTTCCTCTCACCAACACGATCGTCATCCTCCATGGTTGATCATCATCTTCCTTGATTCTGTTCATCTTTTTCACTAATAGCTTATCGAGTCTGTACAAACTGATTTGATTCATATGATTTGTTTTTAGTTTTTGATTTTTGGTATAGATTTTGCAAAATAATCCATAGAATTGCGAGTTTAGGTAGTTCAGCCGCGTGCAAGTAGACACTAGAGCAAATAACAGGGAGAAAATGTCGGCGTACTTTGGCCAACGATGGCCTCGATCCGACCGAGATCATAAAGGAGCCAGCCAGCCCAAATAAAACAAAAAGAACAAGGTGAGCAGGTCGAATGTATCCGCAATATTCATCTTCTTCGGATGAGGGACCAATGGAACAGTGATTTGCTTTTGTCGAAAGGGAGGATTGTATAGGCTTTGGAGAATAGGAGAATAGGAGAATAGGCCTAGTGTACACGCCAAAAGTTCCATGGACCGTGCGAACAATCTCGTTTTAGCATTTATTTCCATTGGAACTGTGGAGAAAGATCCCACATTGGAAAGATGGGAAAGGACTTGAGTAGTATATGAGGGACTTGGGCCAAGCCACTCATTGCCAATTGGTTTTGAGTTGGAAGCCCATGAAACTTAACATGGTATTGCTTAGCAAAAAAAAAAACTTAACATGATATCAGAGCCCGATCCATACGCTGACCCATTAATCCGGCCCGAAAAGTGGTCCGATCACCCCCACTAATTGATAGCCCAAAGGAAGGCTCAATTCTGTCGAGATAGCTAGAAGAGCATTATCTCGATGGGGCATGATGGATTCTGTCGAGATTAATGGTTAGAAGAGTCATTATCTCGAGGGGGCGTGTGGAGAAAGATCCCACATTGGAAAGATGGGAAGGGACTTGAGCCAATCCACTCATTGCCAATTGGTTTTGAGTTGGAAGCCCATGAAACTTAACAGGAACCATATGAATCTGGTGCATAGTGCTATAGAGAGATCTCGGAGTTGCTGTTTTGATGGACTTGTGAGACGACCCGTTTCTTTTTTAAAATGCATTGAGCATCAAGGACGATTACTTATAGTATGAATGATTTGGAAAAGAAGAGAGGTTAGGAAAGGTTTTTGTTTCATCAGCACTTCAAAATGTTGGTATCAAACAATCTAAGAAAATATGTTGTGATTGTTATTGAACTAGATTATGCAATGAGATTTGGTTTTTGATTCTTGAGCCCAAAACAATGACTAGCTTTATAATTAGATAGTCACAACTGATTGTAATTTGTATTACTGAGTCTTTTTTTTTTTTTGTGTGTATACATAATAATAGTATGATCATCCTTTTTGGTTTAAGCATGAATCCACCAAGTTTCTATTTTGATATTTGTATTGGTAACTCCATTTCTTCAACAATCTTTTTCCTGCCGCGTGTGGAGATCTCACATGAGCCACATGGACAACACACGAGAAATCTGAAATCTTAAAAACTCAACAACACGGGAACAGCTGTTCTGTTGCATATAGAAAGATCTATTACCTCTACACACAACACTACAAAGAGAATCGTATCTTAGTTTAATTTCTTGGATTTTCCTGATAGTTTTTATTAATATTCGAATTTATAAAACTAATCAGCCACATAAATAGAAGCAAAACACGATCTTTCTTTGAAGATAATTAAATTTATAAACTAATCTCCAACAAAATTCATTTCAATGAGCTGTATATCATCAACCCACAAGTCGCAACCCGTGTCATCATTAATATTGTTCACGTTTTTATTTTCCTTTTGGCAGAAGATTACGGTTTGAGTTATATTTCGTGAAAGTACATTTAAAAAAAAAAATCTTTCTTCAAAGCCAAGCTAATTTATTTTCTGTTTTGTTTGTTTCGTACTTAACTATTTCAAATGATATAAAACTTAAACTGATTATACCAAGTAAACGTGGCAAGAATTAATTTTCACAATTTAAAACAAATATCATCTATAATATATCTGACAGTTCGAGATCTCTTGCTTATTCAATTTGCATTGTAGCATTTAGTGGTTTTAGTTTGTTGTTCGAACTCAGTTGATTTTTTATTAGATAGACATATATCGAATTAAGTGTTATTTATATAAAACTTAGATACTGTATTATTCAATTTACATGGCGGTTTCATCTTTAGGGGGTTAACGTGGCTTTTAATTCATAAATGTGATTAAAACACACAATTTATAAAAATTAGTTGTCTTTTTTTTTTTCGTCATAAAAAAAAAAAAAAAAACAAAAAAATTTTATGTGTGCAAAAAAAAGAGAAGGTATACATGTGTTATGTGTCAACGTTGGTACGGCTTTATAGATCTAAAAGGTCAAACTTTAGTTGAGAGTTGAGACAGTGATAACTTGTTTTTGACTTTCTTACATGCATCTCCACGACTATCTAATATTTCAACAAAACAATTATGATAAAAAAAAACAAATTTTATGCTTTGAATTGTTTTTTGTTTGTTTGTGTGAGTGTTAACACTAAATTGTAAGTGAAAAAACATATGTTTAGTCTCTTTTTATTGTTTCAAAAATATATGTTATTGAAAATAAAAATTTGATCGCTTTTTAGCCTAACACAATAAGTTATCCTTGGTCCGTCCATAACTAATGATCATTTCTTGCTTACATAATCTGATTCATACTTATATTTTATTTTATTTTGTTAGATGTAACTAAAAGTGTATGTACCAACTTGTGGTAATTCCTTAATCTCAGAGAACAACGTACATGACTAAGATCTAGTTTTTGGAACTATCTGTTTAACAATATTAGTACTAATTGGGTGACACATGCATATAATTATACAAATGGTTATATCTAAGGATAATAATTGGATCTCTAATTTTAAAACTAGTAGCATTATGGAACGTATGTTAGTTTGATATCTTTTTCAATAGCTTTTGACTTAATTTTTTCCATCTTGTGAACAAAAGAGAAAAAAGTTTTCTTTAATTTAATTTAACATCAATAATTGCAAGTCATGTGAAACCCATCAATCTAGTCTTTCCTCGCCAAAAGAGAATATTATTTTCGTATCTATTATAAGTAATTATGTAAAAGCATACATATAGAGGTAAAATATAACATCACGAGTTTTTTTAATATTTACTAAGAATTTTGAATGAATAAAAAATACAACTTATAGTCTTATACTAACAATAGTTATTAGTTATCCTATACTATTATTTGGGGAGTACACTTTATAAGATACCCTTAACTAACCTTTCCTTTTGTAAGAATTTACTTTAAAATGCCATTAGAGATAAAATTTCAAAGAGTAAATTAATTCATCTCATTAAGGATAAACAAGTCAATTTATACAATTTAATTAATTTAATTTAATTATAAAAACGAAAAATACATTATTATTATTATTTTTAAATGACCAATCAAAATGAATATATAAGATTTGATATCTAACTTATCTTATTAATTTGTTATTAATCATTATATTTCACCTCTCATCTTTATATGATTCTATTATTGTGAAACAAATAAATCATCATATCATCCATATAATTAAAAAAATAGATTTTTTTCCGCATATCCCATGATTTGAATTTTTAAAAACGAATATAAATTATTCAATTTATGAAAAAAAAAAATTTAACGAGTCAAAAATTTAGACTTGGATAATATATTTCTTTTAAACAAAAATAAATTCAACAAAAATTTCGCCTGATTAACGGGTCAGAATTTGAGTAATTATATTCAATTTCATATATTTTTTTAAAATATATAATTTTATATACTACGATAAAAAAATTAATTTGGAATATTTAAAAATAGTTTTAATTGATATTTAAAAACAAATATCATCAATACTTAATAAATAAAAAATAAAAAATTATACATACACTAATTTGGTTTTCTTAAAACAAATATATTTAAAAAATATTTATAATAGATGGTGGGTTAAATATAATGTATTATATGATGAAATGAGTTATGATCCTTATAACTATTTGAATATTTATATTTAAGTTCATACAATTATTTTTAAAAAATTCTTAATTTTATATTCTACAATAAAAAATAAAAAATATTTTAATTTGGAAAAATTTAAAAATAGTTTAATATAATATTTTAAAGAATAATAAATATTTAATAAATCAAAAAATAAAAGTTATAAAAACTCTAATTTCATTTTTCAAAGCATAAATATTTAAAATATTTATAGCAAGCAGCATGTTAAATGTAATGTATTATATGATAAAAAGAGTTATGATCTTTATAACCGAAACCATGTTAAGATTATATGATGAGATGAGTTAAATAAGGTTTGACACCTCTAAATATTTAAAATTTTGATTCTATAAGTATATATGAAAATAATGAATGATGGATTGTGCACACAATGTTTTCATTGGGATTCTAAAATAAAAATATAGGTACGCACGGTTTGAATTTAATCTTATTATATACCAAAATATGTTTATTATATACGCAATTTTTTTTCACTTACTACTAGCATATATCAAATACATACGTTTTATTTTTAACCAAAAAAATGTAAAAACCGTAAAAATTGAACTGTAACTAAACCGATTTACATACGGTTTCTATGTGGTTTCACTTTCTACAAAACGAAAAAAACGATACTAAACCGAAAAACCGTACTCCACTCCTAATATTTTCTCATCAAACAAATAAAATAAAAACCTTATATGTCATTGTATTATGTAAGAATTATTAAAATTGTACTATAAAACAAACAATAATCCAACTTTATATAAATATTTAAAAATTAAAATTTCATCCGTGCTGTTCCCAGCACGGGTTATGATCTAGTATCATAGTAAAATTGTAAAAATACTATTAGAAAGACTAACATTATGTAGAAACTATTAAAAATGATCATCAAGCAAAACCGTAAAATGGTTCAAAAATATATTTTAAGCTGTCTTAAAATGACAAAACATCAAATTACACCAGTAATATATATAATCGCCATTTTGTAAAGTCATACGACACGTAATTTTTTTAATTACCAATTGAACCTAAAAGAGATTCTCGTAGTTCAACCAACACAATAACACGTATTAACTTGTTTTCCTCTAGCCAGCTATATAGTCTACGCATCCCATACGCAAACCATAGATCCATCACTCTAGTCTCTATATATACACATAAATATATACACACACACAAAGAGCTATATATAGAGAATACACAACACATTCTATTCTTGTATACTCTTATTACAAAAAAAAAGGAGAGAGAGAGAGAACCAATTTCTCTCCCTCAAAATGTCCAACAAGGTTCACGTAGGGAGCATTGAGATGGAGGAAGGTTTGAGCAAGACGAAGTGGATGGTTTTAGAACCTTCTGAGAAGATCAAGAAGATTCCCAAAAGGCTTTGGAGTGTTGGAAAAGAAGATCCGAGGAGAGTGATACATGCCCTTAAAGTAGGTCTTTCCTTGACACTTGTATCTTTGTTATATCTCATGGAGCCTCTCTTCAAAGGCATTGGAAGCAATGCTATTTGGGCCGTCATGACCGTCGTCGTCGTCCTTGAGTTCTCTGCCGGTAAGTTTAACAATATATCTCCTTATACACATACATCTTATAATCAATTATATTAATGTATTTAATTAGTGTTATAACGTTTTGTTCAACTTCTTGATCATTCTTTAGGTGCAACGTTGTGCAAAGGGCTTAATAGAGGATTAGGGACACTAATTGCGGGATCTTTGGCATTTTTCATTGAGTTTGTAGCTAATGATTCCGGCAAAGTCCTTCGAGCTATTTTCATTGGTACTGCTGTTTTTATCATTGGTATGCAATTTTTCCAAAAACAATTTACCCGTTTATACTTGTTATTCAAATTGGAGTATCTAACCGTTTAATCTCTAAGGTTTCAGAGACGTCTCTATACAACAATATATTTACTAACTAATCTATGTTCTCATTCTAATGGTTACAGGAGCGGCTGCTACTTATATAAGATTTATACCATACATAAAGAAGAATTATGATTACGGTGTTGTGATATTTCTCTTGACGTTCAATCTTATAACGGTGTCAAGCTATCGAGTAGATAGTGTGATAAACATAGCACACGATAGATTCTACACTATAGCCATTGGTTGTGGAATCTGTCTTTTCATGAGCCTTCTTGTTTTTCCTATTTGGTCTGGTGAAGATCTACACAAGACCACCGTTGGTAAACTCCAAGGCCTTTCTCGTTCTATAGAAGGTATGTAATTCCCGAACATATCATTATTATGTTTTGTTACAATTAACACCAAAACTTATAATTCCAAAAATAGTACATAATTTATCTGGTATTAATATTTTATAGCATGTGTGAATGAGTACTTTGAGGAGAAAGAGAAAGAAAAAACAGATTCAAAAGACAGAATCTACGAAGGGTATCAAGCTGTTTTGGATTCTAAATCCACTGATGAAACACTTGTAAGTCTTTTTTATACATAGAACTCCAATTTCAAGATTTTGGTTTTGGTAAAAGATATAAATATATGAAACTAAAATAAAATTTCAGGCATTATATGCAAATTGGGAGCCGAGACACACTCTACGTTGTCATAGATTTCCATGTCAACAATATGTTAAAGTTGGAGCTGTTCTTCGTCAATTTGGTTACACTGTTGTTGCTCTTCACGGTTGCTTACAAACTGAGATTCAAGTAAGTTTAATTACATTATTAATGTTATATATGTTTTGTAAATTGAATTAGCTTAAACTAATTTTCTATATATATGTATTTGTTATTTTTTTTTTCAAGACTCCAAGATCTGTTCGCGCGCTTTTTAAAGATCCTTGTGTAAGATTAGCCGGAGAAGTATGCAAAGCTTTGACGGAACTCGCGGATAGCATCTCAAACCACCGTCACTGTTCGCCGGAAATTCTATCCGATCATCTCCACGTGGCACTTCAAGATCTTAATTCCGCCATCAAGTCTCAGCCTAAACTCTTCCTTGGTTCTAATCTCCATCGTAATAAACACCAAAACGGCAGCGTTTCTAATAACAAACACCAAAACGGTACCGTCTCGCAACGCAACAACAGTAATATTGGAAAAGATCTAAACGGCGACGTTTCTCTTCAAAATACCGAAACCGGTACGCGTAAAGTTACAGAAACCGGTTCACGTCAAGGCCAAAACGGAGCCGTTTCGCTTTCGAGCTTTAGAACTGACACGTCAGCTTTAATGGAGTACCGGAGATCGTTTAAAAACAGTAACTCCGAGATGTCGACGGCAGGAGAGAGGAGGATGTTACGGCCACAGCTGAGCAAAATCGCGGTGATGACGAGCCTCGAATTCTCGGAAGCTTTACCGTTCGCGGCTTTTGCGTCGTTGCTAGTGGAAATGGTGGCGAGGCTTGATAATGTAATCGAAGAAGTTGAGGAATTGGGAAGGATCGCATCTTTTAAGGAGTACGATAACACGCGAGATCCGACGGCTGACGATGTCCGATGCGAAAAACCGGCGAATGTTACGATCAGTGTCGGTGCCGCTGAATGAAGCAACGAACGACGGCGAGAAATTAGAGTGTTTTTTAGATTAGACTAAACCGATCGGTATGAGGGGTCAATGATGCGATTCATTTGGTTCGGTATGATTCGGTTTGTCATTTTCACGATGATGGAAATTAGCAATCGGATGCTTTTCTTGTCTTCGTTGTTCAGAATTTACTAATAAGAAAATTATTGTTTCTTGAATAAAAATTTAATACTGTGTTTCGTTGTGTAAATGAATTGTGATGTCTGGTTTAAGACAAACAATACAAGAAGAGATATTGTTTATGGCTAAATGCCGGTTATTTCTGGTCTGTCATTTATAATTCTGAAAGTTAGTTATACGAAAAATATAAAACAAAGAAGGGCCCAACCGGGTTCGAACCGGTGACCTATTGATCTGCAGTCAATTGCTCTACCACTGAGCTATGGACCCAATTTGTTAACGTTCATAGTTCTTAACATATATATACATAGAAACTGTTGCACAAGTCATTTTGAAGAGGAAGAAATATTCTTGTAAATTTTTAAAGAATGAAATGTAAAAAACTCGTGACGAAAATGAATATTATTAAAGGTATTTCAAGTCTCTAACAAATGTGAAAATTATTGCAAACTTTTGGGCTTTCATACATCTTTAAACAAGTTGCTGCGTCACATTTGCCCCTTTCTACATAGTTTTTGATTTTTCATCTCTACATATTTATGGATTTATAAAACAACATGTTTGCATAACTTTTGAAATATCAAATGGTCCCGAAACTATTGCTTTTATAGAGACATTATATTGGATTTTTAATACAAATGATTGTTATCACTTCCACAAAAGTTGCTTTATAGATTATAAGTTTGGTCCAATTAATGATTGAGACAAATCTGATTGATTCTCTTAGCATATATCATATCAAAGGCATCGGAACATTAAAATAAGACTCTATAACAACGTAAATAATCCTATAAAAAACTTTAAATAAGGAAATTATAATACTCATTCCTTATCGTAAGCAAACTATATATTTAGTAAAAATTATGAAAAAACCAAAACTAAGATAATTAACTAAATTCTCAAAATAAAATGATAGACATTCAAAACTACTTCTTCTTCTTCCAAGTTCCAAGACACCAACGTTAAAAGGCGTTTTTGTCCTAAGAAAGAACCAACATGTCTTGTAGCTAAAAAAGGTTTGAGTAATCAAATGAACCGGTTTGGTCATTTTCATAATTTGTCCAATAACCGGTTTGCATCGATTGATCAATGTCCTGGTCCACGTTAAAATAAGAAGAGCTCGCCGGGAATTCCACGTGGTGGTTTGTTGTGGTGACCGGAAAATTGTAGTTGGGAAAGTACTCGGAAGCAACCTCCTGAATTTGAGGATAATCCTATAATTAAAGATAACAAGACCAAAAACAAAACAAAAACAAATCAGTCCACGATGTATACAAAAATGTGTAGGTTTAGATAGTAGTAGGTACCTTTGAAGAATCAAGGATGAAATCAGGAGAAATCCAAATGCTAGAGGAGTCGTTTTCAGTAGAAGAAGGCTTGAACGATTGAAACTGCGACGTTTCATCACGACAAGGGGAGGTCGCGAGGCTGGAGTAACCAGAACCAATGTCTTGTTCGTTTTTATTTTTCAAACTTTTCGAATTGGTCTTCAGTTCATTCTTCTTAACTACGCGACATAACGCGAAAGCTCCCTAAAAATTCAAACATATATATGATTCTTAATTAGGCTTCTTTCCATTAATTCATATAAATGAATATACTATAATGTTGGATCAAATAAAACGAACTATTATTTTCTTACCTTGAAATTTGGTGGTTTTTGTGAATGATCATTATCACATAGACGATATTCATGCATAAACCAATTAGTTCTGTCGCCTAATGGGGCACGGCCTTCATAGAAAACTAAGGTTTTCCGGTATCCTGTTATAGCATGCGATGATTTACAAGTGATTTTCCGGTCTTTACCAGTTGCTTTCCAATAACCCGCTTTTGTAGCCCTATTGGTTCGAGAACCGTTTGCATATTTTTTGTCTCTTGGACAGAAAAAGAACCATTCCAAATCCCTATTCGGAAGGAAAGATTTATCTAAAAAAACAAAGACAAAATTAAACAAGTTTAGTTTTATTTAAATATAAAGTGATGGATAAAAATCCAAGCCTTTTCTTTTTAAAATTACCTGGTAACTCCCAAGGATCAAATTTGTATAAGTCGATAACAGGAATGACTTCGAGCTCTATCTCAAGACCTTCTACTTTTCTACTCAAGTAGTAGCCTATGAGCTCTTCATCAGTTGGATGAAATCTAAATCCTGGAGGCAAACATGAACTTCCCATTTGCGTAATTCACACTTGTTGCTTACAACACAAGAGAATTGTCGAGATCAAATAGTTAACTAAGTACCGAAACTAAATCTATTGACTATTTGAAAAATACAAAAATATGAACTTTTTTCGACACTCAATTTGTTCTTGAAAATAAGTTGCAACTCACTTTGATTGCATCCTTTTTGTGACAAGATCATTGTGTGAAAGAAAGAGATCGTATGATTACAAAAAAATATCAACCCGAATTATCCGAAATTCCCTTTTTGAAAATATATTAAACTCGTAAAAAAGCAAAAGAATAGACACAAATTAAATGAAGGTAAAAATATATAAATAACGAAGAGTAGTTGGGTGTAAGAACTAATTGCTGTGGGTCAAATTAAAGACTCTGACCGAGGAAAAGGGTTTTCTCTGACTTTAAATTGGAGATTAACTATATAAGAAAAGAAAGTGATTAGTGAATAATTGATTAGGAGAGTGATTAAGAGAAGAGAAGAAGAGAAAGTTGGTAGAGTGTTGACTGGTTGCGGGGTGATTGATATTTATAGCACAAAGGTTTGCGAAACTTTGTGAGGGAAATTTAATTATAACTTAAAATATGTTGGTGAAAAAATATGTCGAATAAAATATTACACAGTATTATAATAGTGCCGTAAATATTCAGAAGAAAAAATAACTCGACACACCGAAAGCGGATAAAGACATTGCTTGTCTTAAGAGTTCCCAAAATTCCAAAAGAAAGTGGACCTACCTTGTCTCAAAAGCTAGACTTGTTCACACTTCACACTTCAACTTTTAAGACATAGAAGATTAGAAGAGATAACAAAACTTTGACGAAAGAAAATTTTGTTTATTGTCTTCTTTTTACCGGAAATATGTTATTGTTTAAGATGTAAAGTTGTAGTTTAAAGTTTAGTTCCCATTTGTGTAAGACCCGAGAACTGAAATATTCAAGAAAAAAAACACAAAGAAATATTGAGGGAGATGAAAACGAATGACTTCACGAGATGGAAATGTATAAGGTGAGTTCTATATACAAAAAAGTGCACCTTATAATTATATGATAGTCGATAGCTAGAATATTCTCCCGATACTTTAGGAACGGTCACCATGACCCCTAACAGTGATTAAAGAAGAACACACAATGGAAAAGGAGAAAATGAAAGAGAAAAAGGCAACAAAAATGAAGAAAAAGGCCTAAAAGCACAAATTACTACGTCATATGGTAGGAAAAAGAGAAGTTAGCCTACGAAATACGAATAACGGATCTTCTATGTTGACTACAATAAACCCTAATTGTTTTATATCAAATTAAAAAGTATCATTTATGTTTGAATATATGTGGTTACTAATGTCGGCCGGGGTTAGATCCGTATCAGTAGTCAACTAGTCATATTGGAACTATTATTGCAAGTTCTTAATTCTAATTGTATGTATCTAATAGATTCAACCGATATCATGGACCAACCAAAATACAACAACCCACCACACTGGTCATCGTGTTCTTGTTTTTGCCAACAAGTGTATTTTCCTAGTCCACGATTCCGACAAAAAATAAATATTGTTAGGATACATTATAAAGGTAGGTTTAAAATCATCCATAAGTAAAATATATATATGATAAGTTGTAGATTACCTTCAACTTAGTTAATCTTATCAGTAGAAAGACGAAAAAACAAGTTATAGGTTTAGGTCCAAAAATTCTTAGTTGCAAAAAGAAATATCATTAAGAATTACTAAAAAAGTTTAGAAAATGAGAAGATCCTACAGTTTCCTACAGTTTATCACTTAATTTGTTAATCACACATTATCGCCCAACTTTCTCCTTCTCGATTTCTTCCCCTCTTCGTTTCATTTACTGTCTGATTTTTGGTCTATTAATCACGAACGATTAGTAACATCGATTCTAAGAGTTGATCTAAAAATTTAATAAAGTTTCCTTGTCTAGGTTTAGATTCAAACCTAAAATCTATTAGAACAAAAAGGTGGAGTCGCAAAATCATACCAAACAATATGCAATTCCATATAAGTATATAACAAATGAGGAAAAGTCAATGTTGTAAAACACTTTATTATATGATAGATGTGTGCATAAATCAGTTAAATCTATAATAATACATGCTTACATATATGTCTGAGTTTGCGCGTGTTCAAATGTGTCAATGGATGTTGGTCATTATGTAGCACACAGTCTTATTTCAATGTGATTTTCATTTATATGACCATTTATTTTTATTTTTTTTCACTGAAAATGATTATATTGATGATTATAAACACAACCCATACACCAGACAGGATAGTGTTGTGAATGGTTACATGTTGAAAAACCAAACACCAAAAATTGCAGACAAAGACTGAGACAAAGAAGAAAGCATATCATCACCAAGCTCTAAGAACACTAAAAGGAGATTCTCTCAACCTCAAAATGATGTCGAAGCCAAAGAGGATAACCCGAAGCGACATAAGATTGAAGTCTGTTATCTTTAACCACACTCTGAGCTATAAGAGAAGCTCCCCTGTTAGTCTTAACTTTTTCTTCCACTACTTTCCAATCAACAATCTTATCCAAAAAATGAAGTAACTCAGACACTTGGAACCTGAAGGAAGGCCAAACCTTTGGTCTGAAGAAGGCTGCCAGCAAATCTCCTGGCTCAAAAGCAAAAAGCACCTTAGAGATCTGATGACTATGCATACTCTCAATAGCCCAAATGACACTCTTTAGTAACACATCATTTCTATTATGCAAATCACCCAAAGCCCTTCTACTATGCAACAAGACCTCACCCTTATCATTTCTTAAAACCCAAGCACTCCCTCCTAACCTTTTTTTGCTTGACCAAACAGCTCCAATATTGCATTTTAACCAACCTAAAGGAGGAGGTTCCCAA